TGTAAGAAAATGTTTACTAAAAACATGTTTACTAAAAACAATACAATGTCCGGGGCAATAAGTTCCTGAAAAGGGCTGGCCCAAGGGAACCGCCCTGCCCTTGACCTTTTCCAAAGACTAACTGCCTCTTCAGACCCACCCACCTCAACCTCTGGTGTCAGGGTATATAATAACCAGCCAGAATAGCAATAAATGAGAGCCTTCTTTTTTTTTTTTTTTGGTTTTTCGAGACAAGGTTTCTCTGTGGCTTTGGAGGCTGTCCTGGAACTCGCTCTGTAGACCAGGCTGGCCTCGAACTCACAGAGATCCGCCTGCCTCTGCCTCCCGGAGTGCTGGGATTAAAGGCGTGTGCCATCAACGCCCGGCTTATCTTTTTTTTTTTTCTTCTTTTTTTTTAAGATTTATTTACTTATTATATATACAGTGTTCTGTCTGCATGTATGCCTGCATGCCAGAAGAGGGCACCAGATCTCATTATAGATGGTTGTGAGCCACCATGTGGTTGCTGGGAATTGAACTCAGGACCTCTGGAAGAATAGTCAGTGCTCTTAACCTCTGAGCCATCTCTCCACCCCTCCTTTTTATTTTTGCTTTTAGAGCACACAGCCAGCTTTATTAGGACAAGAACACATATTCTACAGGTCCCTCCCATTCCCATCTCACTCTAACTTCCTCAGAGTGGACAAAACCTACCGTGAAGACAGTGAATTCCTCATCAGGCTGCCGACACCTAAGGCTGCACAGAAGACAACCTCTGCAGGGGCCTCCTCAAGCGTGACTTAAGGACACCAGTGATGTTGAAGCCATCACTCAATCTAATGTTTGGCCTGTGCAATGTCTTGAACTGCATCATCAACGAATGTTTTTGCCATGGCATGGGCTACTTTCAGCACTTTCTTCTCCTTTGCATCGGGCCCCGTGTGGTTCTGGGCAACCTTCAGCCAGTACTGTTCAGTGCGGGACAGGTACTCTTCGTAGTGCTCCCCAGGAGCCACCTCTGGGTGCTGTGGATCTGCTCCCTCCTCAGCCTTCTTGAGGAGCCTTCTAGTCTCTGTGTTGTCAATTCCTGACACTCTCCGCACATTCTTGGACACAGGCTGCGCAGCGGCAATTGGAGGTTCCACCGAGATGTGAAAGCAAAGTAAGTGGACAGGGTCGTCCCTTTTGCCAGCCAGGGACGGATGGGGGAAAATAGGAAAAAAAAAAACGATGGGAAATAGTCCCTGGAAGTTTAAATTACAGTATCACATAAAAAAGTTACTTGAAGAACAGGGGACTACAACCATGGAAGGCTTTCTAAAATGGACTGATCGTGCGAGTCCATGGTTCATTACCAGGGGAGGCTTAAATGTCCCAGATTAGGAGGATGTTCGCCATGATTTTCAGAGAGCCGGGTGTTGGTGGCACACACCTTTAATCCCTCAGGAGTCAGAGGTAGGTAGGATCAAGGCCATCTTGGTCTATAGAGTGAGTTCCAGGACAGCCTCCAAAAACAATAGAGAGAAACCCAGTCCTCGGGAAAAAAAAAAGGTAGAATAGAAATAAAGAATAAAATAAAAAATCTCTAGCCTTTTGTTTGATCCACTGAGGTCAGGAAAGTAAAGGGGAATTCAGAGATCTAAAATGTTGGCCAATAAGTAAGGCTATGAGGATGTATTAAAAAGGGGTACCGCCGGGCGTTGGTGGCACACGCTTTAATCCCAGCACTCGGGAGGCAGAGGCAGGCGGATCTCTGTGAGTTCGAGACCAGCCTGGACTACCAAGCGAGTTCCAGGACAGCCTCCAAAGCCACAGAGAAACCCTGTCTCGAAAAACCAAAAAAAAAAAAAAAAAAAAAAAAGGGGTACCAAACCAGGGGTACCAGATTAAATCTCCAGGCCTTCACTCGACAAAGGTCAGGAAAGAAAGGGGAACCTGAGAGATTGCCCTCAGTTGGAGAGTGGATTGTGTAAATCTTAAGGCTTTTTGCCTGAGGGAACATCTTGGGTTGAAGGATGGATTGAAAATGGGTGAATAGCCGGGCGTTGGCCGCACCCGCCTTTAATCCTAACATGCCTTTAATCCCAGTACTTGGGAGACACAGGCAGGCAGATGTCTTGAGTTCAAGGCCAGCCTTATCTACAGAGAGAGTTCCAGGACAGCCTCCAAACAATACAGAGAAACCCTGTCTCAGAAAAAAAAAATGGGTAAATCAAAAAAAATTGGTAACAGTAAAGAGGTACTAGTATTAAGTAAAGAAAAAGACAAAGGTATATGGAATGGAAAAAGTTTGTTTACATTTAAGGTCAATTTTGTGAGTCATCTCTAAAAACTTTTGGCCAAAAGCCTGGCCTCTCCACCTTGCATCTACAGAGTTACAAGGAGTAGATGCGGCTGTACCCATGACTGTAGCTCAAATGGAGGAATGATGAAGGGCATACAGGACTTTTTAACTTTTTTAGTTCAAGAATTGGCTGGAGTTGTTCTTTTACATAGATTTCAATTAAGGAAGCTTCATTTCTACAGACTAATCATAACCTACGGAAAAAGGATGACTGAAAGATGCATGTATGTTCTGAATGTATGGTGTGGCCACACCGGTATGTATGAAATGTGATTGTGAATGCGTGAGTGTGAACTGCTTATATGATATGATTAAAAGGATACTTAAATCCCTTCAAAAATAGTTAAAAAGCTACCTAAATTGCTTTAGATATAGCCAAAAGGAACACCCAGCCAGTCGGTTAATGTTTTAACAGAAAAGTTAAGATGCAAATGAGGCCTTGTCAGCTAGTGAGAGCTCTACTTCAAATAATTTTTTTTTTTTTTTGGTTTTTCAAGACAGGGTTTCTCTGTGGCTTTGGAAGGCTGTCCTGGAACTCACTTTGTAGACCAGGCTGGCCTCGAACTCACAGAGATCCGCCTGCCTCTGCCTCCCGAGTGCTGGGATTAAAGGCGTGTGCCACCAACGCCCGGTACTTCAAATAATTTTTAAAAGTTATTTGGGACACAGTATAGTTTACAATCCTTGAGTGATTTTCAGAAGTTTTTGGGAAATACTTAATGGATATGTCCTTTTAAAGAGCATCTATTAATAATCTAGATAGTGATCCCAATTCACCTAGATAGTTAACTAAGGAGGGTAGACAAATCCTTCTACTGTTATGGTCCAGCTTTAACAGTTCAAACAAAATTTAGAAAATAAAAATGGGGGAGTAATGTCCCCAGTCCCCACATGACTAATCAAATAATACACTCCTCATTAAAAATTTTTTTAAAATGTGAATGCCAGTGAGCAATCTGCTTCAGACAGATTTTGGCATGATGGAACTTGGGCAACTATTGCTCAGGTCAAATGGAGACATCCATGCACTAGATAGTGGAGAAGACCCTAATTTGGGATCGAGGGCATGTTTGTGTTTTCTTGCAGGAAAAGAATAAAGCTTCGGCAGCTGTCAGACCATTTGGTGAGATGCATGGAGCAGAGAAAAACTGGACCTGAGACCATGGGAGCCTACCTAAGCCAGTTTGAGTGAGATCTCCTAAATCGGAGTTCCTGACCCTTGATGTCATCAAATCTATAGCCTGAGAAAGAAGGAAAACAGTCGGTTCGAGATTTCCAGTTTCTCAACAGGCCTGCTGCATCAACCTCTCGGACCAACAGAGAACTAGAAAGACTGTCTGCTCTTGACACACCTTGAAACAACAGAATTCATTTTGCCAGTTTTTTCCTTTGGGGGAAGAAAGGACCCATTTAAAACATTTGGACATTGGAAGACGGGCGTTGGTGGCGCATGCCTTTAATCCCAGCACTTGGGAGGCAGAGGCAGGCAGATCTCTGTGAGTTCGAGGCCAGCCTGGTCTACAGAGCGAGTTCCAGGACAGCCTCCAAAGCCACAGAGAAACCCTGTCTGGAAAAAAAAAAACATTTGGACATTGGAATGGACTGTGATGAGTGGCAAAAGCCTCTTTTCAGTATTTGAACAGGACATGGTCACTTGAAATATCAGACTTGGTGGTTGCTGTTTCTGGAATCGCACCTATGCCAGTGTATTTATCTGGAGAAATGCAACTTGTCCTAATGAGACAAAAAGGAGCCTTTTGGCTCAAGTCGCATATTCAGCTGAGGCTAGTGACGTTAAATCAACAAACTGCATCACCATAGGAACAAACTGGTGCTCTGTGGATAGTGCAACAAGCCTCTTGTTAACATTTTTTATAATGCTACATGTGTAACATCAATGATTGTACCTAATGTATCTGTGCAAGTGCACTTTCTTTTTTTTTTTTTTTTTTTTTTTTTTTTTGGTTTTTTCGAGACAGGGTTTCTCTGTGGCTTTGGAGGCTGTCCTGGCACTCGCTCTGTAGACCAGGCTGGCCTCGAACTCATAGAGATCCGCCTGCCTCTGCCTCCCGAGTGCTAGGATTAAAGGCGTGCGCCACCAACGCCCGGCACAAGTGCACTTTCTAAATGCCTTCCTAAGCAGATCTTAGAACGATTGTAAACTTTATCATTGTTTTGAACATCAAATTGTAAATGTAAATCACATGCAAGTCACCCTTGTAACAGAGGAAGGCTGGTAGAATGTTATGGCCCAGATCTGGTGATGGGTACGGTGATGGAGAGGCGCTATGTCAATGGGGGTCCTGGAAATGGTGGCAGTGGAGGTAGGCATTCTGGCTTTATGCCGAGCTCAAACGTGCCTTGTTCCAGAGGCAAGAGATCCGTAACCAAGTATTTCTCAGATTAGCCCATGGCAATCCCCGTAGCTGTGAAGTCTGGTTACAGATGATTTAAGGATGAGGTTCTTCGATGACGGGCAACCTGTGGGGAAGAAACCTCCCACCTAAGACAGGGGTCACAAGGTTCCCCCAAAGACGGGCAAGGGAGGGTGACCCTACTTGACCTAAGATAGGAGTACCTCATTAGAAAATAAAAAAGGGGGAATTGTGGGGACACCAGACCTTGGCCAGAGACCCACTTCCCCATCAGCCTGGGACCAGGCAGCTGTAAGACAATGTTTACTAAAAACATGTTTACTAAAAACAATACAATGCCCGGGGCAATAAGTTCCTGAAAAGGGCTGGCCCAAGGGAACCGCCCTGCCCTTGACCTTTTCTAAAGACTAACCACCTCTTCAGACCCACCCACCTCCACCTCTGGTGTCAGGGTATATAATAACGAGCCAGAATAGCAATAAATGAGAGCCTTCTTGAGGAGCCTTCTAGTCTCTGTGTTGGCAATCCCCGACACCCTCTGCACATTCTTGGACACTGGCTGCACAGCGGATGCGTCATTGCTCTGAGGGAGAAAAAAATAGAATGATTTATAAGCCAAATTTAATTCTGAGAAGATAGGTGAATTTATTCTGTGTACTAGTATGGAAGGTTTTTCAGTAGCAAAAAGAAGTATGCTGAACACAGTGGGACACACATTTGTTTCTTTTAAGACTGACTAGAGTGCTGGAGAGGTGACTCAGCAGTTAAGAGCACTGGCTGCTCTTCCAGAGGACCAGGGTTCAATTCCCAACACCTACATGGCAGTTCACAGCTGTCTGTAACTCCAGTTGCAGTGTATCCAACACCCTCATAAAGATACATATGCACAGCACTCAGGAGGCAGAGGCAGGCGGATCTCTGTGAGTTCGAGGCCAGACTGGTCTACAGAGAAAGTTCCAGGACAGCCTCCAAAACAATAGAGAAACCCTGTCTCGAAAAACAAAAAAAAAAAAGACATATCTGCAAGCAAAAACACCAATGCACCTAAAATAAAAATAAATTATTTAAAAAAAGACTGGCTGGTTGGGCAGTGATGTCACATACCTTTAATCCCAGCACTTTGGGAGCAGAAGCAGCCCGAGTTTGAGGCCAGTAGGGCATACAAAGCTAGTTACAGTGTATCCCAGGGCTACTCAAAGAAACCCTGTTAGCTAAAATCCAGAGGCTGCCCTTCAATTCTTGATCTGCTTTCCTCTACCAGTGCTGGAGTACAAGCCTGTGCCACTACATCCAGCTAAGGCATTACTTTTAACTGTGGAAATGATGGCATAAAAATGATACTAAAGGTAACCATTTGTGTACATGTGTGCTCATGTCTGCTTGCTTGAGTATGTGAGGACACCAGGTGTCCTGCTCTATCTTTTTCTGCCTCATTCCTTTGAGATAAGGTGAAGGTGTGGAAATTATGAATTCACCAGACCCAGTATAAATGATAAATGGTGTTTTATTTGGGATGAACTGATGGGCCATGTTCTTCTGTGTGTATGTTTGTCTTTTTGGTTGATGAATGAAACACTGATTGGCCAGGCAGGATGATAGGTAGGACTAGGAGACAAGGAGGATTCTGGGAAGTACAGGCAGAGAGGAATCCTCATGTGATCCGGGAAGTGACTGCCACTAGATAACCATAGAGGTCTGGAGGTCTGTACAGACAGGCAGGAAGTGACATAGCTGGGCAGAATCAGAACATAAGCAGAGACAAACAGGAAACCATTCTCTTCTCGGTGGAGATGTTGAGCAGTCTGTAGCAGGCAAAGGAGTTGCAGGTCTGGTAAGCCAAGACCACGTGGAAATACATAGATTAGTAGTTATGGGTTAAGAATAAGAAGCCCTTTGAAGCCAGCCTGGTCTACAGAACGAGCTCCAGGACAGGCTACAAAATAGTACAGTGTAACCCTGTCTCAAAAAACAAAACAAAAATATAAACACTATACTAATATAGTGTTTCTTTGGGACCTGCTGGGCCAGAAAACTCTTGTTACAATGGACTTACACAGGTAACAGTGAGTGACTGTCAGCGACCCTGCTCCAAGGATGCAGACACTGCCTCTCCCATGCTCTCTGTGACCCAAGGGACTCTAGTACCACCCCCTCAACTACCCCTTTAGCTGGTCATAACCACACCTGTAACCACACACAAAAGGCATGGACACTGTTACAGGTTCTCAGGCAAGGTATGGCTACATGAGGTCTCTTCTTTAACCTGGAGCTAGGCTGGCAGCCAGCAAATTTAAGCCATTCCTGTCTGTGGCCTCCACAGTGCTGTGGCTATGGGACCCTGCATAATCACCCCTGGCTTTTGACATGGGTGCTGGGTATTCAAACTCAGGTCATCATGCTTGCTGTATCCTCTCCACCTCTCAAAACCAATGATTATACATTCTTTCCAACTTAGGCAGCATATGTTGGCCTTTTGAAGCTTCTAATAACAGTAAATTATTGTTATAAGTGGTGGGTTAAGCCTTGTTTAAGGTCTTGGCATCCTAAAAGTGATTCCTTGATCTAGAGCTTGACCTGGCCCAGCTGCAATGCGAGGTTCACTCAGGCCAGAAATTCTATTCCTGGGACCAGGAGTTTGAGTTTTGATCTCTTAGGAAACTGGTTACTTTTCTTTGGGATCTTTTAACCCTACACTGTTTAGCTCCAAATCTTACCTTGTGGTTTCATCAAGGTCTCCTCCCCACTCTCCAAGAGGTAACCCTAGAATCACTTGAGTAACAGGTGTAGAAAAAGAAAAGCCCTCAACTGCTTCCTAGAAGGGGATGTGAGGAAAGAGCAAAGGAAAAGTCAGGAGCATTACGAGTACGAGGCTAGAAATGACAGGGTATTTTTTAAATGTCCAAATTCAAGTCCATTAGAAGTTCTGGATGTGCTCATAGTACATCCATCCACTGTGAGCCTTATCCTTTGGCCTTCAAGACTAGTCTACAACAGCTCCTTTAAAAGTAGTTGGAATGGGGCAAGGCGTTAGTGGCACAGGCCTTTAATCCCAGCACTGGGGTGGGGGGCAGAGGCAGGCGGATCTCTGTGAGTTCGAGGCCAGACTGGTCTACAGAGCGAGTCCCAGGACAGCCTCAAAAACAATACAGAGAAACCCTGTCTCGAAAAATCAAAGAAAAAAAAGTATTTGGAGTGGCTAGGATTCGTGTGAGGTACCTCTCATAACTTCCAGATAGTAGGAGAGATACCAAGCCATAATTTAATCTTATATTAAAACAATATTTATTCCTTTTACTTTTGTGTGTTTTGCCTGCAAAACCACTATGTCATGGGAATTGAACTGTGTCTTTTACAAGAGCAACAAGTGCTCTTAAACATATTTTTTGTTGTTGTTTTCGAAACAGAGTTTCTCTGTAGGTTTTGGAGACTGTCCTGGAACCCTCTTTGAAGACCAGGTTGGCCTCAAACTCACAGAGAGCCACCTGCCTCTACCTCCCGAGCACTGGGATTCATTTAACCATCTAACCAGTCACTTTTGGTTAAAACTATAGTAAGCCTATAGGCAGATGCTGCAGTGAGAGGTTTTTTTTTTTTTTTTTTGGATTTTTTTCGAGACAGGGTTTCTCTGTAGTTTTGGAGGCTGTCCTGGAACTTGCTCTGTAGACCAGTCTGGCCTTGAACTCACAGAGATGGCAGATGCGGCAGTGAGAGTTTTTTGTTTTTTTGGTTTTTCGAGACAGGGTTTCTCTGTATTGTTTTGGAGGCTTTCCTGGAACTCGCTTGGTAGACCAGGCTGGTCTTGAACTCACAGAGATCTGCCTGCGTCTGCCTCCCCAGTACTGGAATTAAAGGCGTGTGCCACCAATGCCCAGTAACTGCAGTGACAGTCTTATGCATTATCTCTGGATATCATTTTACCTATCAGGCAGAAATTCATGCTGAGCCTTTAACCCTAGTACTTGGGAGGCAAAGGCTGGCAAATCTCAACAGGTTCTAGGCCAGCCAGGGCTACATAGTGAGACCCTGTATCAAAAAAGGTGACGAGGATCACTACTGAGAATAGTTGTCTAAATATAGACTTAAGTCCAGTGTTTGGGGAATGTGATCTCTTGGACCATTAAACAAACCAATACTTTTTTACGTTTTTTTTTTTCATTGCTGTGCTTTCCCGCTAGGTGTATAAGACCATTCAGTTGGCACAAGTCAAAGTTAACCATTTTGTACTATCCAGGCCAGCTAAGGATCTAGATAGACATCAGCAGTCTCTTGGACTTAAGAGGAACCTCTGGCTCCTCCAGCCTTTTTGACTTTGGTTTTATTGGAGTCATCTTCTGGGTTGATTTGTCCACCTGCATGGTCCAAGGACATTGGTGTTCACAGCCATCTGGAACCCCAGTTCCAGGGGATCTGGTAACCTCTTCTGAACTCCTTGGGTACCACACATGCACAAGGAGCAAAGGAACACTCTGTGTCAGTGAGAAAAGAGGCTTGGAGACACCAAGAAGAAACAGCAGGCACTTAAAACCCAGAGGGGAGCCGGGCGGTGGTGGCGCACACCTTTAATCCCAGCACTCGGGAGGCAGAGGCAGGCGGATCTCTGTGAGTTCCAGGCTAGGCTGGACTGACAGCCTCCAAAACAATACAGAGAAACCCTGTCTGGTGAAACCAAAAAAAACAAAAAAACAGAAAAAAAAACCCCAGAGGGACCCATGCTCCAGACTTTCACACAGGCCTGGTGATTTCTGTCTCCAGCTGTTGTAGCTGCCTGTTAGAAGCAGCTTTTTTTTTAAAAAGATTTATTTATTATATATACAGTGTTCTGCCTGAAGGCCAGAAGAGGGCACCAGATCTCATTACACAAGGTTGTAAGCCACCATGTGGTTGCTGGGATTTGAAATCAGGACCCCTGGAAGAACAGGCAGTGCTCTTAACCTCTGAGCCATCTCTCCAGCCCTGAAAGCAGCTTTTAAAGCACCTGGGTCCTGCTTGGGGTCTATGCTTTTTCAGACTTGGTTCTGGGATGCTGCAAATTCACAAAAAATTTTCCAGGCTAGCCAGTTCCAAGTGTCATCTCCCTCTGCCACCTAGCTAGTACTACAGACACATACATGGTTAACTCTTGTCTCCTCTAGAAACCAGTAAACATATGAAGCAAAACTTGTCAATTAAAAAACAACAACAACAACAAAAACCTAACATGAAGGTCTGGTATAAAAATGCATTGACCTTTAATACTCAGAAACAGCCATATAATTAGAGCCTCCCATTTCCATGATCCCATTAGGCATCTAGGAAAGTGAAAACTGAAACATGACAATCCTGAAGGTTCAGTGTACCAGAAGTTTTATGGATACCATTTTGGTTTATGCCATCTTCATTAAATTACTTGCCACATGGTACCATGTCATGTGGCTGTCTCCATCTTGTAACACTAATCACAATGGTAGCCAAGTCCATTTGTGTTCCTTTTGATGAGGTGACCTTTTGCTTGAGGCTAGCTCAGCAACAACACAAGCACATCTGCCCCCAGGGCACAAGTCTCCACGAGACCCATGCACTCAGACCAAATGGAACACAGTGTATTTGACCTAGGAATGGAAGCCCCAAGGAGCAAGGCAAGAAGGAATGACTCCACGGTGTCAGCACAAGGAGAGGTAAGCTCGCGTCTCACCATACAAATTTAAACTGTGGACATCGAGAGATGTCATTTGCATCAGGTGTTGACTTCCCTTCACTTTCTACGCACAAGCTGCTGCTGGGAAAAGATGCACAAGGAATAGAGGCATGCGCAATGCACATGGGTGAGGTTGTAGCTCCCAAGCATATGGAAAACTGGTTAGAATGTGATGTGGGGCCATTTTACTCTGGTAGCATTGGGCGTCAGAAGATGTGTGACCCTGGGTTTCTCTGTGTAACAGTCTGGCTGTCATAGAATTCACTCTGTAGACCAAGCTGACCTTGAACTCAGAGATCCACCTGCCTCTACCCCCCTGCTGGGATTAAAGGCCTGTGCTACAACCCCTTCCCGCCAATTGAGTTGGATGGAATTTAAGACCCTTAAAAAACAACTGTTTTGGGGTGGGAGAGATGCCTAGCAGTTGGGAGCACTGGCTGTTCTTCAGAGGACGGGAGTTCAGTTCCCAGTACCCACATGGCAATTCCCAGCTATCAGCAACTCCAGTTCCAGGGGATCCAACAAACCTCACACAGACCTGTTGGGGGAATTCCTGTGCATTTGTCAATAAAGACTGTCTGGCCAATAGGAATCTAGATAGGTGGGGCTAGGAGTCCAGGAGGATTCTGGGAAGGAGAAACACAAGAGAGTTCGAGATGTAACCGCCATTGGGGTAGGAAGCCCGGAAACCTCTCCGGTAAGAGACATACTTAGATTAACAATTATGGGGTAAATACTTAAGTCAGAGCTAGCCAGTAAGAAACAAGCAAGGCCAACAGCTTCATAATTATTATAGCCTCCTGTGTGTTTATTTGGGACTGATGCGGCTCTAGAACCAGGCGGGTGGAACGGCTTCTCTCAAGGAAAAAGCTTCCTATGCACTGATAAAGTAAAATCATTTTTGAGTGGAGTATTCCTAGAATATCTTGATGCAGCAATTAGTAAGATCTTACAATCTAGTCTTGACTCCACAAAGTGTAGTGTCAGGGTCAACATTATGGACACCAAACAAGTACGTCACATTTTTCAAGGTTTCAACACAACAGTATTATCTATAGTTCACATTCAATTTCACAAAAATTTCCAGAGTATTTAAGTTTATGCTTTTGGTGTGAGCTGAATTCATAGCTATCCTTAGCTTTGTGTAGCTCATGGATTTGTAGGCTGGACATGCCTGATAGGCGAGGGGTGTGGTTACTCAGCACAGCATTTACCTATCATGTGCAAGGTTCTAGGTTTGATCCAGCAACACAAAATGAACAAAAAAACAAATAACCATTCACACAAAGGGATGACCACAGAAACTTCTCTCACAGATATTTATTTACCGTGTGCTGCTGCTTCTGTGACCAAAGATACTTCTATATTACTCACTATTCCAAGTTTGTGAGATTTTATAGGGCTTTCACCTGTCCTCCTAGATGTTTTGCCTAAGGAACACAAAGACGATGTTCTCATGTCAGGAATAGAGGTTAACTACAATAATGTGCTAAAGGGGTCTGCTGTGGAATACTGTTTAAGAAAAAGCTGACAGGAGAGTTGGGTGATGCACGCCTTTAATCCCAGCACAAGCAGAACTCTGAGTTCAAGGTCAGTTGGTCTACAGAGTGAGTTCCAGGACAGGCTCCAAAACTACAGAGAAATCCTGTCTCTAAAAACAAAAACCAACAAAAAAAGCTAACAGACTGGTAGCTGGGAAGGAAGTTAGGCCAAACTGAGAATAATGGGAAGGAGGAGAGTGAAGTCAGAAAGACACCAGCCAGCTGGCCAGGAAGCAAGATGGTGACACATAAATTAACAGAAATGGGTTAACTGAAATGTAAGAGTTAGCTAGTAACAAGCCTGAGCTATTGGCAGAACCTTTGTAATTAATACAAGTTTCAATGTGTTTATTCGGGACCAGGCAGTCAGAACAGGAAAACTCAGCCTACAGGGATGTGCCATTTTATGGACACAGTTAAAATAGTTCATCTAGTTTACAAAATATTAAGGATATATACAGAATACAGGATTTACAAAGAAAATCTTTGATAAAAATTTCTAATATTTTCCTTACCAGAAACTATAAATTTGTTGGAAAGAAACTAATACTTCTTAAAGTATCAAGTAATATAGGAAAAGGTATTTAAAACAAAGCACACAGCTGGAAAACACTTTATTTTCTACTTCATATAACATTGTTCAAGACCACACGACTCCAATGGTATCTTTCCGGCAACTTTTTATGATTTAAAGGTACCACTTAAAAAATATTTACTGATGCTATAAATATTACTTTTCCTATATATTAATGATTTTAATGAATGCCATATCAATTATATCTCTTGCTCCTTTGGTCAAAAAGATAAACAGAAACTTTAAATCAAATGTTTAGACATTCAAAAATGTTTTTTAAGAGCATATACACACAAACCAAATCTACACCGCAACTATTATTTCAAAAATTATACAATTTAAAAACAGATTTTAAGTTTTAAATAAAAGACATTAATGGCCAAATTAGGAAAGTTTAGCATCAGATTTAGTATCTTAATTTTTAAACTATTCAGAAATATAGTTTGTGAATAAGAATTATCTCATAAATATATATATGTATAAATATAAATAGGTATCTACAGAATCTGTGGGGCAGGAGGAAATTCTTTAAAGAAAAAAATTGCACTTTTATATTTTTCAGGATGTTGTCAAATTTATACTTCAAGTGAGATACAATTATCTAGGTGCTTTTGGCACAAGTATTCAGGTGAATATTGACACAATCTGAAAAAACACAACTTTTTTATTTATTTGTGAAATATGAAGAACCAAACAGAATTCAGAATTCTGACCAAAAAAATCCCAGATAACTGTAATTACTTAAATACAAAAAATATTGTTTTAAAAAGATTTTAAACCTGCCTTTCTATCTGGAATGTATAAAATTTTACTAGTTATGTTTTTTCCAACCCCTTCAGCAAGAATTCCCAGCTTAATACAAATGTAACACCATTTTTTTCAATTCACGTACAACTTGGATCACACCCCAGTATACAAGGACAAAAAGTAAATGTACAATAAAAAGATTGGATAAATGAGGAGAGGCTTTTTGGTCTTGAACTCTTCACCTACGAGTAATGAGGCAGCACTGTAGGCAGCCCAAAACACACCAAACAGCTTAAAAAGAAAAAGAAAGAAAACAGCAGCATGTTAGCAAATCAATCAACAATGTTTTTTAAAAAAAGATCCACCAAGGGAGATTGTTTTGGGGAGCTTTTGTTTTTTCAAGACAGGGTTTCTCTGTATTGTTTTGGAGGTTGTCCTGGAACTAGCTCTTCAAGACCAGGCTAGCCTCAAACCCACAGAGATCGGCCTGCCTCTGCCTCACCAGTGCTAAGATTAAAGGCGTGCACCACCACACCACCACACCAGGTTCAAGTGAGACTTTTTAAGAATATTCCTTTTACTTTAAAAGAAAAGAAAGCTACAATCACTCTAAAGAGACACTTCAGGCCGGGCGTTGGTGGCGCACGCCTTTAATCCCAGCACTCGGGAGGCAGAGGCAGGCGGATCTCTGTGAGTTCGAGACCAGCCTGGACTACCAAGCGAGTTCCAGGACAGGCTCCAAAGCCACAGAGAAACCCTGTCTCGAAAAACCAAAAAAAAGAGACACTTCAGTCAGGCACAGTGGCACTCACCTACCACCTGAACTCAAGACCAGCCTGTAACACAGTGAGTTCATGGCCAACTGTGGTTACAATGTCAGACTGTCTAAAAACAAAAACCGGTAGCAATCTAAAATACAATACACATACACATACAACACAAAATCCAATAATAAAAAAAGGCTAGTCGCTTTTAATCCCAGCACTCAGGAGGCAGAGGCAGGAGGATCTCTGTGAGTTCCAGACCAGTCTGGTCTACAATGCAAGTTCCAGGACAGCTTCCAAAGCCACAGAGAAACTCTGACTCAAAAAACAAAAACAAAAAGTCTTTTTAAAAAATCTAGTGTTAAGTCTTTTAAACACGTGTCCCTAGTGATTAAGATCATATTTATTTATTTATTTATTTTTGGTTTTTACAAGACAGGGTTTCTCTGAATTGTTTTGGAGGCTATCGGTCCAGCCCAGCCTGGAACTCACAGAGATCCTCCTGCCTCTGTCTCCTGAGTGCTGGGATTAAAGGCGTGCGCCACCGGCAAGATCATATTTTTTGAAACACTGTTTCATTCAGTATCCCACTGTCCTGGAATTTTTGAACCTACAACAGTGCACTTGCTACAAGTATAAACTAGTGCTAGAAGTATAAACTCTCAGAGACACCACACCCTGCTGATCTGGCAGCTTTGGAAAAAAAAACAACAACTATATCTGCCAAATTGCTGAATAAAATGATCCCTGAAAGAGTTCACAACTTCAGTTAGAATTGTACACATTGTTATTATCACTGTTTTCCTAGGCCTAGGAAGAGGCACCATGGTTCTGTGAAAAGGAGGCTCACCAGGCTGTACTTTAGTGTAGACTAACTCAAACTATCCATGTATCTGAGGATAACCTGGAGTTTCTGGTCCTCCTGCCTTTATCTTCCAAGTGTTAGGATTAAAGGTGGTTTCGATCAAATTTTAAATAAACACACTCCTCCCAAATCTGTCCATAAATTCTTTTTTTTTTTTTTTTTTTTGGTTTTTAGGAGACAGGGTTTCTCTGTATTGTTTTGGAGGCTGTCAGTCCGGCCTGGCCTCGAAATCACAGAGATCCGCCTGCCTCTGCCTCCCGAGTGCTGGGATTAAAGGCGTGCGCCACCACCGCCCGGCCTGTCCATAAATTCTTAATAGTAGTGAGAAGGTATGATTATTTTATTCTGAAATTTTATCTGGTCTCCAGTCTCCCTTAAATGCCTCTTATAATTTCTGGTAACCGGGTGGGAGGGGAGGAATAAAAACAACAACAACAACAAAAAAAAAACCAAATTGGTAAAAGTATCTGTTTCCAAATACCACTGTCTCAGGAAATTCTAGGTGATGATATTCTTATCCAGAGGACCAGCATACTTTCATACAGAAACAGTCAGCTGTATAATTCATACTATGTAACTTACTTTTATAAGTGTAGACACCATCTCAAATGATCCAACTACCAAAAGTACAGGGGCTATTACAATGAGAGGAAGCAGTGAATATCCTATCACTCCAAGCACTTGGCCATATGCAACCTGTGAATGTTTAAAAATGTAAATAAATATCATGTGAATCAGGATATTTAATCACTTCTCAATATCATTCTTTGTTGTACTGACATAAGCATGAGTATCATAAATCATAAAGTATCACATCCAATGCATTTCAAATTATCACCTTGTCTTATATATTCCAGGGCTTTGGAATACATAGAACTCACAGAGCTCTACCTGCCTCTTACTCCTGAGTACTGGGTTTCTCTGTATTGTTTTGGAGTCTGTCCTGGCACTTGCTCTCCAGACCAAGCTGGCCTCGAAATCACAGAGATCCGCCTGCCTCTGCCTCCCAAGAGCAATTTTTTAAAAAATGCTTTTTGAGGTGAGTGGGGTGGGGTTGAGACAGGGTTTCTCTGTGTAGCTTTGGAGGCTGTCCTGGAACTCGCTCTAAGAGACCAGGCTGGTCTTGAACTTGCCTCAGAAGTGCTGAGATGTGCACCACCAGTGCTTGACTTGAAAAGATTTATTTTCAAGTGAGTGCTCTGCTTGCATGTATGTCTGTGTGCCACATGCATGCCTGGTACCTGCACACATGGTGAGCCTTCAAGTGGGTGTGGGAAATACAAGAACACGTGCTCTAAACTACTGAGCCAACTCTAGCCCCCAGAGTAATTTTTAATGACAATTTCATGTATATATAGAGAAATCCTAACTGGAACAAACTTATACCATATATTCCAACTGTTCAGCCATGCGAAGCCTTGCTTTCTTCAGATAGTTTAACAAAAACTAGACATCATAAGGCACTGCTAAAGAAAGCCAGTCTGAAAAGCTGGCTTTCTGGCCTGGAGTTGGTGGTGCATGCCTTTAATCCCAGCACTTTGGGAGGCAGAGGCAGGCTGATCTCTGTGAGTTCAAGGCCAGCCTGGCCTATAGAAAGAACGATAAAAAGCCCTGAGGTAAAACATAGAAGAAGAGAAACAGGTCAATTTAAGTTTAAGAGCCAGAGGGACAAGTGTAAGGTAAGAGTTCCAGGACAACCTCCAAAGCAATACAGAGAAACCCTGTCTTGAAAAACCAAAAAAACAAAAAGCTGGCTTCCATGAATCTGACATTCCTGTTCTGGGAAGATAAAGTAGCCCTCAGCTATGAGACCCTGTCTCAAAAAACAACAAAACCACAATCTATTTTCTTTCTTTCTTTTTTTTTCTTTTGGTTTTTGAGACAGGGTTTCTCTGTATTGTTTTGGAGGCTGTCTTGGAACTCGCTTTGTAGATCAGGCTGGCCTCAAACTCCCTCTCCCATGAAGGCTCGCAGGATCTTGTTAAAGCTGCTTGAAATCCTACAGTGTTACTCCAACCATGGCCAGTTTTCCCACGTCTTCTGCGTTGGTCTTATTTCCTTAGTTCCTTGCTTTCTCCCATCCCTTTGAGCCCCTCCTGACTGCTCCTCCTTCCTCAGCAGGTAAGATTGAGTTTGTTAGTTTGGAACCTGTCCTGGAACTCACTCTGTAGACCAGGCTGGCCTCAAACTCAGAGATCCACCTGCCTCTGCCTCCCCAGTGCTGGGATTAAAGGCGTGCGCCACCAAGCCCTGCCACAATCTATTTTCTAATAGGGCAACTACTAATAAACATAAGGAAATCTCTATGGTAACTGAGAACTGGCTTGAGAGCTGTTGTCGGCTCTATGCTTCTGTGAAGAGCCATACAGCTGTATCTTTTTTTTTTTTTTTTTTTGGTTTTTCGAGACAGGGTTTCTCTGTGTAGTTTTGGAGGCTGTCCTGGCACTCGCTCTGTAGACCAGGCTGGCCTCGAACTCACAGAGATCCACCTGCCTCTGCCTCCCGAGTGCTGGGATTAAAGGCGTGGGCCACCAACGCCCAGCGACAGCTGTATCTTTGATAGTGGGAAGTGATCTTCCCTCTTTTCTTGATTCCTTATATTTACCAAGTAGGTTTAATAGCTATATAAATCATCTGAAAGGAACTAGTATAAACTAAAGACAACTTCAGGATCATGAACCTTGTTATGATTGGGCATGGTGGCATAATTTCAGCACCCGGGAAACAAAGGCAAGTGGAATTCTATGAGTTCAAGGCCACCTTGGTCTAAATAATGAGTTCCAAGACAATCAGGGCTATGTAGAGAGACACTGTAACAAAAATAAAAGCAACAATAAAAAGAACTAGCCAGGCATGGTTAATTTTCTAGCCAAGCACAGCAGGTCTCACCTGTCTGAAGCTAGTTTAATCTACACAGCATGTTCTAGGTTAGTCAGGGCCACATGGTGACACTGTCTCCAAAATCAGCAAACAGACAGATCAACAAACAGGCTAGAGAGGGCTCAGCAGCCATGAGCATGTACTGCTCTTGCAGCACACCCGCACTCAGCTCCCAACGCCTGCCCAGCTCCACCTGAGAAGGTCTGATGCCCTCCTCTGGAATCTACGGACACCTGCACTCATTCATAAATACAGATGCATTATCATTTTATTTTAAAGCAGGGTATGCTTATCCCACCCTTTAACCTTGGAAATAAGAAAGCAGCAGGCAAATTTGTGAGTTCAAGGTCAGTCTGGTCTATACAGTGAGTTCCAGGGCTATATATAGTGAGACTGTCTAGAAAACAAAAACACTAAAGAAGCCACCTTTCAAAATTAAGTACTTACTTCTCCACCAAGAACTCTAGCCAGTAAGAAAATAGTCAGTGAACCAAATATCCAAATGGTTATAATCCATGAGACCACCTTAACAAGGAAAAAAGAATCATTAATTTAAAAACACCTAATAAAACTTGTATGTTTACAGACATTCAACTCTCCACTACTTAAGACAGCTTAGCAAGCCCCATTTCAGGTCAGATATTCTATTGGTACTCAAGGACATTTCTAAAACTTATAAATACAAGATGTAATACAAACTTAAAACCAAACTCAAAAGTTTAACAATTACTAATTGCTTATAGAAACTGCAGTATTTCCTTTTGGTTTTTCAAGACAGGGTTTCTCTGTATTGTTTTGGAGGCTGTCCTGGAACTCACTCTGTAAACCAGGCTGGCCTAATTCAGAGGGATTCGCCTGCCTCTGGCCCCTCCCCTCCCAGTGCTGGGATTAAAGGCCTGTGCCACCAATGCCTGGCTACTAAGAAGTCTTTAAAACTTATAAATTCATGTAATTATTGAATATGTTAGACATGTTAGGCCTCATATATATTTAACACCTAGGAAGGTCTGCAAATAATAGTCCATTAAAAACATAAACATGCTGGGTCAAACAGCATGGTAGTGCATAGTAGGAGGCAGAGGCAGGTGGATCTCTATGAGTTCAAGGCCAGTCTGGCTTACAAAGGGAGTTCCAGGACAGCCAGGGCTACATAAAGAAACCTTGTCTCTAAACCAAAAGAGGAAGAAACATAAACATATCTAAAGAAACGTAACCATGCCAGGCGTTGGTGGCACATACCTTTAATCCCAGCACTCGGGAGGCAGAGGCAGGTGGATGTCAGTGAGTTCACGGCAAGCCTGGTCTACAGAGCGAGTGCTAGGATAGGCTCCAAAGCTACACAGAGAAACCCTGTCTCGTAAAAAAAAAAAAGACCTCACACTGTAGTGCAGGCTGGCTTCAAACTCACTGTGCAGTCTGGGATGACTTCAAACCTACAGCAGTCTTCATGCCTACTCTCCTACTACACCCAGCTTCCAGATTTTGGTTTCTTACATTCCCTCACTAGAACTGAGCCTTTTAAAGAGTACTAACTGCTTCCCAGGCAAACAGTTTACAAATGCCTGTGGACTTAAAAGAAAGGTATACTCAAAAAGTACGCAATATGGTAGTAGGAAACAGCCCAGCTGATAAACTGCTTGCATACAAGCTTAAGGCTTTGTTTCTGAGGACCCACACAAAAACTGGATGAAGTGGCATACACTTGTAGTCCCAGCACCTGGGAAATGGCGCGCGCGCGCGCGCGCACACACACACACACACACACACACACAGAGTAGTAAGGGTTTTGTCCAAAGTTCAGAGAAAATCTGAAGACCTCCCAATGGCTAAAGCTGGAACAATCTGAATAAAACAAATGGTACTATTGGTACTAATGTACTATAATTCAGAGAATAAAATAATATTCATATTCAAGAACCCACAGTGATATAAATAACTGATTAAGTAACAGAAAACAAGGATGGCTGTTCCTTAGAAAATACTTACTAATAAACATAGATGAATTGAAGGAAATAGGATAATCACCATTCAATGACTACTATAGCACTAACTGGATCCAAAATTTATTAGGCTCAAGTATGCCAAGTATCTCTAGAACATATTAATAAAGAACAACTCAAATTGGTGATACAGACCTATATCTAATACTCAGGAATCTGGGGCAGGATGATCACAAGATCAAGGCCTGCCTAGGCTACAGAGTGAGCCCAAAAATAAGGCCAGATACACAGCTCAGGGATAAAAAACTTACTTACCAAGAATGAGGCCTGTATTTCTTGCTTTCCTATGGCTGTGATAAACACCATGACCAAAAGCAACTTGTTTTACTTTGAATTTTCCACACAAGGTCTCACTATGTAGCCCTGGCTGTCCTAGAACTGGCTATCTGATCAGGCCACCCTCAGGCTCACCAAGACCTAGCAGATGGCTCCTCCCAGGTGCTGGGTTAAGGCTTGCCCCACAACAACTGGCCTAATAGCATCATTTGACAAAACAATTCAAAATCACCTAGGAAAGTAGGGTGGTAGTGGGGGTGCACACCTTTAATCCCAGAACTTGGGAGGCAGAGGCAGGTGGATCTCTGGGAGTTCAAAGCCAGCCTGGTCTGAGTTCCAGGACAGCTAGAGCTACACAGAGAAACCCTGTCTCATAAAAAACAAAAAATCACCTAGGAGACAGACCTCTGGGTAGGAGTTTCTAAATTTGATAATGGATGTGGGAAGATCTACCCTAATGTGAATGGTATTATTCCATCAGCTGGAGTAGGGAGGAGAATGAAACAAAAAGAGGCAATTGCCAGGTGGTGGTGGCCCACGCCTTTAATCCCAGCACTTCGGAGGCAGAGGTAGGTGGATCTCTGTAAGTTCGGACCAGCCTGGTCTACAAGAGCTAGTTCCAGGACAGCCTCCAAAGCCAGAGAGACCCTGTCTTGAACAACCAAAAAGAGGCAATCTTCTCCCACAATGTCCTCCCGACTGTGAACTGTGAGTCAAAAGAACTCCTTTTTTCCTTAAGGTGTTTCTGCTAGGTGTTCAGTCAGAACAACAAATAATGTAACTAACAAAAGGATGAAGAATGCTTTGTTGTTAAGAATACATGTCACTCTTCAGAGACCCAAATTGAATCGCCAGCCCTCACACTGGGTATGACTTCGACTCCAAAGAATTCAATACCTCACTTTCCCAGGTACCAGTACTCCATGCATGTGGTGATATCTTGTTTGTACTCTTTGTTTTTTGTTTGTTTGCTTTTAGAGACAGGGTTTTTCAAGAACTGGGATTACAGGCATGTGCCACCAACACCCAGCTCTTGTTTGTACTCTTAACAAATAAAGCATATCTGAAGATCACAGGGCAGAGTTAGCCACTAGTTAGCCATAGAGGTCTGGGGAGGTCTGTACAGACAGACAGGAAGTGATTATGGCTAGATGGAGAGAGGAATATATGGCAGGAGGAGACAATAGCTTGACCTCTTTTTGGTCTGGAGGTTTAGCAGAGGTAAGAACTCTAGTGGCTGGCTGTTCTGCCTCTTTGATCTTTCAGCTTTCACCCCTAAATATCTGACTCTGGGCTTTTATTAATAAGACCAATTAGAATTTCTGCTACACATGCAAATACCCACACACTTTTTTAGAAACAGGACCTTGCTATGTAGATCAGGCCTCTGCCTCACTCATACGCATAATTACAAATAATAAAAATTAATCATTTAAAAACAACTAATAAAACATGGAAATCCTAGAGAGACACCTTAGAGAGTACTTGTTGCTCTTGTAAGGGACTCAGGAGACCCTAGGCACCAACAGGATGACTAAAAGCTATCCATAAACCCAGCTCCAGGGAACACAAAGGCATGCACACAGTACACACTTGCATGCAGGCAAAACCTATACATAACGTAAAACAAATAAAATATAAAATAAGATGTGAATAAACTGAGAATTAATCCAAGATACTCCTTAATTAATCCATTATGAAACAATTTCAGGAATGAACAAATGAGGGGGAAAAATGGACATATGGAAAACATCTCTGAAACATTTTTATAGTAAATATATGATTATATCTAACTTCTGAGTCTCACAAAAGGATCAGATATTTGTACAAAATGAGATATACTTACCCTAAACTGTCCATATAATGATATCATTGAAAAGAAAAGGACAACAGCTAGTGGACCCCAAAAGTCAGGATTGTCTCTCACCACTTGTCTATTAAAACCAAGTGATGGCATTGGCATCAAAACACAACGGATTTTGTAGTAAATATCCTTTAGATCAATGTCCAATTCTTCCCTGTAATTTTAAAATAAGACTCTTAAAATACATGTAATTTTAAATAGTACAGCAGTTTTAAAAGAACTTTAGATTTAAACTAGACAGTCTGATGTGTATAGTCAGCATCTGCAGTTAAAGTAAATATCAGACTCCTTCCATGGTTAAACATCTCACCTTCTCACAACGTGCTTCCAAAGTCTGCCTGAGCACCGAGATAAAGGTGTGTGCCACCATGCCTGGCTGATAATTAAGTTTAAAACCTGAATTTCATTCAGTCGTAACTATCCAAGAACCTTGCTTTTTTTTTTATTTTAAGAGACACTGATTATTTGGAATAGGTGGTCAAACCAGATGAAGAGTATAGAGTATATTTGTTTATATGTGTATAAGAGACACATAGGGCTTCTTTGTGTAGTCCTGGCTGTCCTAGAACTTACACTGTGAACCAGGCTGGCCTCAAAGATCTGCCCATCTCTGCCTCAAGTGCTGGGATTAAAGGGATTTACCACCACTGCCCTGCATGCATGCATGTCTGTCTGTCTGTCTCCTAAATCTAGGGCTCAGGTTTTTTTGGCTAAACTCCTGATTTTTTGTGTTTCTACCTCTCAAATACTGATATTATAAAGCCTGGCTTCCAGCTTTAATTTTTTTAAGGAGATTATCATTTTCAACAAACAAGTGTTTTACCTGCATGTATGTCTGTGTAATGCCTGAGTGCCTGGTGCCCTCAGAAGTTAGGAGTTACAAGCAGTTGTGAGCCACCATGTGGACACTGAGACAGAAACCCACTTGCAAGAGCAAGTGCTCCTAACCACTGTGCCATTTCCCCAGTCCCCATTTTAGAACCTGACATCCAGGTTCAACAGGCTGAAACATTCTTTCTTTATTGCTTCAGTTTTTTACAGTACTAGTAAAACTGAAAACAGCTACTATTTCTAAAGACTTGTTTATGTGTGTGTATTTGTGTAAGTGAATGCCATGCAGGCAGAGGCAGAGTTCAAGGATAGTCTGGTCTGCAGAGCTAGTACCAAGCCAAGACTGTGACACAGAGAAACCCATTGCAAAAAAAAAGAAAAAAAAGAAAAAAAAAAAGAAAGAAAGAAAAATCAAAGAACACAAGCATCCCACAAAGCAGGTCTTTTTCTTCACTTACAAAAGTGGCTTGTTATCTTCAGGGTCCTCATCTTCAACTTCCAAAAGCCAGCCATACCCTCTTTGTCTCAGAAACGTAGTAGCTGTAGATTCTTTGATAAATTCTCCACCTCCACCGAGGTTTAATTTGACATCTGGAGCGGCTATAGAACCACTGAGATCTTAGGAGAGAAGACAAAACTGTAAACCAGAGTGATATATGCGAATTTGACCAAAAATAAATTTTATCAATGACAGACTGTATTACTTTCATTTGGCAATTAGAAAAAACAAAATAACAAAAACAGAAGAGCTGAAAGGCAAGCTAGGTGCAATGGTGGATACATGCCTGTAACCTCAGCACTCAGGAGGTTAAGGCATACAGCCCAGGCTGGCCTCAAATTCACTACGCAGACAAAGACGATCTTCCGGTCTTCCTGCTGCCACCTCCCAAATGCTAGGATGCATCCCCATACCTACTGTGTGCAGGGCTGGAGGTTAAACTCAGAGCCTCCTCCCTACTACCAACTACTCCTACCTCTGCCCTATACCACACATTTTATAGCATATATCATCCCACTAAACCTTCTACCCTTCCTATCAGTCCATTATCTGATAGGCTACATCCTGTAAAATATCACCTCCATAAAATTTTCCTGACTTTTGTGGTAGTTTTGTTTGAGACGAAGCCTTACTCTAGTCTAGGCTGGTCTCAGCCTCTCAAGAGCAGGGATTACGGATGTGATCCACCTTGCCTGGGTTTCTCTGATCTAGTTAGGAATAATTTCCTCCTCTTTATTTTTTTGTTTTTTGTTTTGTTTTGTTTTTCGAGACAGGGCTTCTCTGTGTAATTTTGTTGCCTATCCTGGCACACGATCTGTAGCCCAGGCTGGCCTAAAACTCACAGAGATCCTCCTGCCTCTGCCTCCCGAGTGCTGGGATTAAAGGTGTGCATCACCAACACCCAGCAATTTCCTCCTCTTTTATCTTTTATGAAATTCTAAGCCAGCACTTCTCAAAGAATGCTCATGAATGACGCAGGAATCGTGATAAAATATAAATCCAGTTTAGCGGAGATCATACGGAACTATGTGCCAGGTAATGTTGATTCTGCTGCACTGCAGACATAAACCAGATACAGAATCATCTATTTGTCTGACATAAAACAACACACAGCTACTCTGGAGACTGAGGCAAGATCACACATTCAAGGCAATACTGGCTACATATTGGGTTCAAGTCCAACCTGAAAGACTTAGTGTTGCTGGGATTGACGGAGAGCCCCACCACTACCACCTGGCCCAAAATAAGTTCTGAAGGAGCAAACAAAACTTAATGAGATCAGATTCAAAGAAAATCTGTTTATCTGCAGACTGAGGTTTGTTTTCTATTTTCTTTGTTGGGATAACTCTCAGTACATATTCCGTCTGGCCTGTAACTCACAGAGGTCTATATACCTGTGCAGGATGCCTTCCAAGAGCTGGGATCCCTGGGGTTCACCACCTAACACACCCTAGTGTCTCTTAGGTGGAATCTCTAAATCGAAATCAACTTATTTTTTCACATTGGGCAGTTTAACCGGTCCCTGGAAAGTAAATAATTTAGAGAAAAACCACACGCCGACGAAGAGTCAGGTTACAAAGAGTCCAACGCAGAGGGGGGGGGGAAACCCCACGCAGCAGAAAAATCTTCCCAGCACGATCTCAACAATACAAGCCAAGTCTGCAGAGGCTGTTGGGGACACGGAATTGAATTCCTGAAGTTTCAAATGCGCCTAAACCCAGTTTTCTGAATACTGTGGTCAAGCACTGCAAACTGTAAGGACACGGGGATCGGGGCAAGAAATCGGATCCCAGCACCCACCCAGCGGGGAGGCAGAGGCAGGCGGACCTCTGTGAGTTACAGGCCACCCTGGTCTACAAGGCTACCCTGAGGAATCCTGTCTCGAAAAACCAAAGCAGACAGACAGACAGACAGACAAAAAAGAACGGAGCACAGCCCCACTGTGTTCTCATCCTTTGGTCCCGCACTCTTGAACAACTGCAGAGCCGTGCATTTAGGAAAGGAACCCTCAGCGATCGGCCGGAGGCCAGCGGCGGAGCCCGCGCCCCGCACCCTCCCGAGCCACCCGCGGCCTCGGGGAAGGCCCGGCGGGTCAGGGGCGGAGTCCCCACGCCGCCATCCCCCCCCCCCCCGCAGCCCCGCCAGGCCGGGCCTCACCTTCCGCGTCGGCCGAGGAGACGAAGGTGAAGTCCCCGTTAGCGGGCGCGTAGGCCGGGGGCGGGCCCGGAGGCTGCATCCCGCGGGCCTCGGAGCCCACGGCGGTGCTGAGGCGCGGCTGGGCCCGGGGCCTCGCTCGGGGACGACGCGCACGCTCCTGCTACCGGGCGGCCTGCGAGCCGGGGGGCGCGGGCAGGGCCGACGGCAGAGGCGAGCGAGCCAGGCCGGCCGGCGGCTCCTGACGAGGTCGCAGCGGAGTCCCGCGGATGGCGAGCGCCCAAGCACCACGACGCCGGGGCGCTGACAGGACCATAACAGTGACAGCGCCGCCTGGATTGGCTGTTTGTAATCTGCTCTCCCATTGGCTCCCGCGGGAGGGCTCTGATTGGCCCTTCCCGTTGTTGATTACGGAAATCGACCCCCGAACCGGAAGTTGCCTCAGAAATCTCTGTTCCGCCTTCAGCTGTTTGTGTAAATAGTACACACCCTCTGGGCGCCCCTCTTCAGGCTTATTGTTTTTGTTTTGTTTTTGTTTTTCAGACAGGGTTTCTCTGTGTAGCTTTGGAGCCTTTCCTGTTTAAGGTATTTTTCCTGAAGAAAGGGAGTGATACAACCAGGTACACGCCTTTAATTGCAGCACTCGGAAGGCAGAGGCAGGCATATCTCTGTGAGTTCGAGGCCGGGCTGGTCTGGACAGCCTCCAAAACAATACAGAGAAACCCTGTCTCATAAAACCAAAAAAAAAAAAAAAAAAAGAAGAAGAAGAAATACATCAAAATTAGTGATGATAAACTGCAAGATATTCAAAATAAAAAACAGCAAGGAGCTTGGATACACTGGGAATACTTTCATGTTTCTTTCTTTCTTTCTTTCTTTCTTTTTTCTTCCTGTTTTTGTTTTTCAAGACAAGGTTTCCCTGTGTAGTCCTGGAACTCACTCTGTAGATCAAGCTGACCTCAGACTCAGAGATCAGCCTGCCTCTCCCTCCTAAGTGCTGAGATGAAAGCCATGCACCACCATGCTCAGCTGAGCATGTTTCTGCCTGTCTGGTGATGACATGTACAATCATGTCTGGTTTACCCAGTGTTGAGAACCACTCTCTGTGTTTAAAAAATGCTATCTGGGCACTGGATCAACTAAGGTATATCGTTAGCCCCCTCATGCTTCTTTCTTGGGCTTTAAAACGTGCTGCTGAGTGAGGAACTAGGGCTAGAGAGATGGCTTGGCAGTTAGGAGAGCCAGTGCTTTTCTAGAAGACCCAAGCCTGTGTCTCTGCACTCAGCTCAGGTAGCTCACACCACCTGGGAATCCAGTGCCAGCGTATCTGATAGTGACATCCTCTTCAGAGTTCCTCTGGCTCTTGAACATATATGGCGCGCACACATACACACAGATCTTTTAAAGTGTGTGTCTTAGGGATTCTCTTCCTTCAAAGAAACACCATGACCAAAAACATGGTGGGTAGGGAAGGGTCTGCTTCACTTACACCTCCAAGTAACAGTCCATCACAGAGGAAAGGTCAGGGAAGGACCCTGGAGGCAGGAGCTGATGCAGAGGCCATGGAGGATGCTGCTTACTGGCTTGGTCCCCATGGCTTGCTCAGCCTGCTCTCTTTGGTTTTTACGAGACAGGGTTTCTCTGTTTTGGAGGCTGTCGGTCCAGCCTGGCCTCGAACTCACAGAGATCCGCCTGCCTCTGCCTCCCGAGTGCATGCGCCACCACCGCCCGGCCAGCCTGCTCTCTTATAGAACCCAGGACCACCAGCCCAGGGATGGCACCACTCCCAGTGGACTGGGCCCTCCCCCTTCAATCACTAATTAAGAAAATGCCTTAGAGACGTGTCTACAGCCAGATCTTATGGTACCTCTCTCTTAATTGAAATTCCCTTCTCTCAAATGACTCTAGCCTTAGTCAAGCTGACATAAAACCATTCAGCACAGTGTGGAAACAGAAACGCTGGTTTTCTGAGATTCCAAAGTGTTGAACTTCATACATTTAAGAATGTGTAGATTTGCCGGGCATTGGTGGCGCTCGCCTTTAATCCCAGAACTTGGGAGGCAGAGGCAGGTGGATCTCTGAGTTCGAGGCCTGTCTGGACTACAGAGTGAGTTCCAGGACAGCCTCCAAAACAATACAGAGAAACCCTGTCTGGAAGAAACAAAAAGGAAAAATAAAGAGTTGCAGTTTTAAATAAGATGGTCAGGATAGAAGACCATCTTTTTCATCTGCTATGTGTTCAGTTACTCTGTATCTTTACAGTTCAGGATTTCTCTGGTTTTTTTGTAACCTTCAGTCTTTTAAACTGACCAAGGAGTTTATATCAATAGAAGTCCCTGGTTTGCCGGGTGTTGGTGGCGCATGCCTTTAGTCCCAGCATTCGAGAGGCAGAGGCAGGCGGATCTCTGTGAGTTCAAGGCCAGCCTGGTCTACATTATGAGTAACCCTGTCTCAAAAAGAAAAAAGAAGTCCCTGGTTCATTTATTCTTTCCAGCTTATGTTGTGCTATTTCTTTTGCTTTTTTAATTTTATTTCCTTGCTTCTTTACATTAGTCTTGTTTTTCCCTTTCCTAGGTTAGGAATGATTATTTCTTCTTTAATTTTCTTATTATGATGTACAGAGAACTTAAATATTTTTCACATTTCTTTATTCTATTTTATTATTTTTTTAATTTTATTTATTATGTATACAGTTTTCTTCCTGCATGTATCCCTGCAGGCCAGAAGAAAGCACCAGATCTCATTATAGGCAGTTGTGAGATACCAAGTGTTTGCTGGTAATTGAGCTTGTGACCTCTGGAAGAGCAGCCAGTGCTCTTAACCACTGAGCCATCTCCAGACCCTTATTCTATTTTATATGTGTGAATGCCTTTTCTGCATGTATGTGCACCAAGTGTGTGCTTGGTGCCCCTAGAGGCCAGAAGAGAGCATTGGATGCTTTGGAACTGGAGTTACAGATGGATGGAAGCCAACATGTGAGTGTTGAGAATAGACTGCTAGTCTTGCAAGAGTAGAAAGTGCTCTTAGATATGGATCCATCTCTCTAGCCCCCTAAAATGAACTTTTTTGTTTTGGTTTAGTTTTGATATTTTGAGACAGGGTTTCTTGCTGTCCTGAACTTGCTTTGTAGACAAGGCTCACAGAGATCCGCCACCCTGTGCCTCCCGAGAGCTGGGATTAAAGGCGTGCACCACCACTGCCCCACTCCTTTTTTTTTTTTTTAACTTTATCTGTTGTGTCCAAGTTGCAAAGTCCCCAGAGGCCACTTGGATGACAGACCCACTAAACTGCAAAAGCAAGGTTTTAATTGTTCATTCACCCATGACAGGGACCCTGTCTGGCTAGCTGCTGCAGCAGCCTCCAGAGAGAGTGAAGTTCCTTGTCTACTGCTAGGTTTTAAAGAAAAAAAAATTACAGGATTACATCAGTAGGAGGTAGGGGTTGGTTTCTGATAGGTTGAAATTTGGGAACAATTAGGAGAATTTCTCAAAGTCATATTTTGGCAAGAAATACCTGTATACCAATTATTTTCACTGGTCAGTGCTGAGAGGGAACATTCTGTGGTTTCTATGGAATTGTCTTGTTACTTGCAGGTGGCCTGTTGTACACAGATACCAATAATTTTCAGAACTATATCCTGGAGACTACAGGGGAGGTTTTGGTCCCCCCTGGAATTTCTTTTGTGGCCAAACAGTTCCCAGGAACCAAGCATCTAGGAGGCTGGGGACGGGAGTCTGGAGTTTTCTTTGTGTTCAGTTTTGGGCCTAGGCTCTGGGAGGCCAGAGGATCTGGGGTTTCCTTTATGTCAGCTTTGTTAAGAGAAGCTTTTTCTTTTGCTAGCCACTTTGGTTATCCCCCGCCAGTCGCCTGGGCTCTGCCGCGCCAGCCTGGTTCTAGATCCGCATGAGTCCCAAATAAACACACAGGAGGCTATATTCATTATGAAGCTGTTGGCCTTGTTTGTCTCTTACTGGCTAGCTCTGCCTTAAGTAATTACCCCATAATTGTTAATCTAAGTATGTTTCTTACCGGAGAATAGTTCCCAGTGTCCTACTCCCATGGCGTCACATGTTGACTCTCCTGTGTTTCTCCTACCCAGAATCCTCCTGGATTCCTAGCCCCACCTATCTAGATTCCTATTGGCCAGACAGTGCTTTATTAGCATAAGACTTCCCCAACATCTCCTCTTTTCTGTTTAAACAAAAAGAAAGGTCTTAACTTTAACACAGTCAAATTGTATATAACAGAACAGTTATCAAATAAGAACATAGTTACAATATTTTAGCAAGATTTAAAGAAAATATCATCCATACCATCCTTGTGAGTTCAAAGTTCTATATGTAACTTATCTTTTATCATAACTAAGGAAAACTATAACTATCTGTCTTCAACTCCATCAAAGACCACAGAAGGATAATATATAAACACTAGGATTGACAGAGACATCTAACTGCCTGGACAGTCACCCGAAGTTCCTCTGTAACGTTGGGGCATCCATCTTCAGCCCATAGGCCACAATGTGTCTGGAACACTTCTCAGCAAAGCAGGAAATTTCAAACTGTCTATCTGCGTTGGCAGTCTGTCAGTCATTTTTCTTTGTCCTGCAGAAAGTCTCGTAGACTCTTCATCAAGCAGGAACCCTGTAAGACTGAGTTCAGTAGTCACTTTCCTGTGGGTCCTGCATGTCCAGATGATACAACAACAGTCAAACAATCTAGGCAAGAGCAGTTTCTTGCCCAAATGGCTAATCTTGCCATGTTGAAAGCAAACTTTATAATAACGAGTTTCTTCGATGCCCATCTTCCTCTCAGACGTAATTGGTGCTGCCAGGATCAGACATTTCTCATTGTCAAGACAAACCCTAAACCATTTTAAATGCCATGTTCTGAAGGTCTTTGAGAGGTTTGAAGACTGTCCATCTCAAATATATTTCTGTATATCTAGAAACCTAACTTAGGTACTACCTATCTATAGTCTGTATTCAATTATGCATTACGTTGTAAAAGATCAGTATAAGCACAATACTTAATCAAGAGGAGAAATATAAGCATCACAAAATTGACCTCGATTTTGTCTCAATAAATGAAAAACAATACCCATACCATAATTCCCCTTTTTTACCATTAAAAAAATATTGGCTGTGATCATTAGCCAATTATAAACAATCCCATTTAAATGAAAACAAAGATTTATAAACAAGATGGGAATTGGGACGTCGTTCATTCCAAACTGCTTCCTGCTGGAAGGGGGCGCTGTTCATACCATGGGGATCATGACAAAACACAGAAACCTGTATAAGTCCGTATTTTCT